TTTTATTATTTAAACATGAACTTTCTAGAATTTTTTGTTGTATTACATTTTGTTGAACCCACCATTTGTAGCTTCTCAAAAAACAAAGACATATCAAAAAGTTTGAAGGCACTTTGGAGATATTTTTAGTTTAAATGTCCTAGCTGGAAGGGAGCTTAGAAAGAGTCCACTTGTCTGGAGATTAGCAAAGGAGAACCTATGACCAACTCATAGTATTCATTTATTCGTTCAGTGAGTATTTATTGAGAGAACTAGAGCTATTTGAATCAAGTGTCCCTAGACACCTGGCACTCCATCATGGTGGGGCAGGCAATGGAGGAAGGGGAGAAAAAGGAGGAGGTGGAGGAGGTGGAAGCAGGCTAGGTATTGGCAGGGGAATGTTCCCATTGAAGAATAGCACCTTACTCCAGCTGGCATACCACAGTGCCCTTGCAGCTACCTTTTAGGGATAACTGCCCTGTGGAACCCAGGCAGAGAAAGTCTTACAGCCATATGAACAGGAGGCAAGCAGTGTCCCCAAAGCCTGGCTCAGTGGGCACTCAGTGAATGTGGCCTTGGGTAGAATAAATTAAATCTCCACCTTGGACTTTACATCCCTGAACCTGTTTTCCTGCCTGTGAAGTGGGCCTGATGATTGCACCCTGTGGGATTGTTTTATGGATGCAATTTAATGTTGAAAGGTGAATGGACATTTTGAACTCTAAAGCATCACACCATTGTCAGGGCTGAGACCAAGAAGCTTCCTTTCTTTTTATTTTATTTTATTTTTTGAGATGTACTGTTGCCTGGGTTGCAGTTCAGTGACACGATCTTAGCTCGTTGCAACCTCCACCTTCTGGGTTCAAGCAATTCTCCTGCCATAGCCTCCTGAGTAGCTGGGATTACAGGCACCTGCTACCATGCCCAGAAGCTTCCCTTCTCTGGCTATAAAACAATGTCATTTTTCTCACTGACATTATTTTATTCAAAAAGATAAAAATTTAAGTTGTAGCAATGAGTACATCTTTTGATCCAGGAGAATCAACAAAACTATTTTTTGTTTTGGGTGGGGGAATAATGCATTCCATATGCTTCCAAATTGAGCCTATTATAAACCAGGATGCTTACCTCCATTCTGCAAACCACTATCTCTTGCAAATGAGGAGAAGACAGAAATAAAATTACTTTTCCACAGTCTCGTATGGAGTTAGTGACAGAGCTGGGCCTGGAACCAGCCTAGTCCTCATCTCACTTGACTGTATATATACATGCATACGCATGCATGGATGCACATATACATTCTGCCTCTGCCACCAGTTCCACTGAATGCAACAGAGATGACTATGACCCTTACAGACAGTCAGGCTTGCAAGGGTGAGGATTATATATAAGTAGGTACCAAGTTTAGGCCCAGAGAAGACTTGTGATTGACCCTTAGGAAACCCTGGTTCCTGACATCACATGAGACCATCTAGTTCACAGAGCAGATCTTTTTCTCTTTACTGAGATGAATGTCACCTCTTTGGAACACCACCTCCAGTGAAAGCTAAACTTTTCCAGAATGTCCCAGACCCCAGTGAGAAGCTTGTATGCTCCAAACGTAAGAGGCAAAATCAGTTGGGATGGCATGGGTGCAGACCTCATTCTGTAAGAAGCTGATTCAGCAAAATGCACAGTTCTGTCAGCACCCTCAACTCTCACCTGTCTTTAACTCATTTTTGTATTCCTTTCCACCCTAATTGGCCCATGCTCAGCTTTCCCTACCCTGTAATCTGGTGCTGAGCAATCTGGTGCTAATCATTCTGGTGCCAGCACATAACTCAGCTGCTTATTTGCATATCTAAATCATCATTTTAACATAAAATACAGGGAAGGTCACTTATCGGCCACTGAGATATCCAAGAAGGTGTATGGAGTGAGTGCTTTTCATCACAAGTTCTAAGGACCTCAGGCATTTCAGACTTTCATTAGCCTCATTGATTCTTTTGTCAATAAAGAAAAGAAATGAGAAATTATTTTAAAATGGGGCTGGGAGGCAGACTTTTGAAGATAAAAATTACAGAATGAGATTCCTCTAAACTCCTGGGGCACCTATCTTCTTTTCCTTCTTGTCCTTAATAATAATTAAAGAAGGGGGAAAAAAGCCATGACCAAATGCCTGTAATGTCAGGGTGGCAGAGGCTGGAGGACCCAGGATAGTGCACACAGCACAAATATCGACCCACCCTCTACAGGAGCCCCAGCCTGAAATAAATCCTCTGGCACTCGGAAGTAAAGAATGGTCCTTTCCTCCTTTCTTTACTGTTGGTGTAGGTTGATGGAAGTGTAATTCAAAAGGGAGAATAATCTCCAAATCGTGCGCGTTTGCTTTTGGAAGGTGACGTTTTTATACTTAGGTGTGAGTTGTTACAGCCCTGATGTCTCTCTCCTGACCTTCAGACACAAATCTAACTGCCTACTACTGGATACCTTCCCTTGAAACTCTCATAGGCCTCCCAAACTCAGCACATCTAAAACGGAACATAATATTTCCCACCCAAGCTTTTTATCTTCCTCTTGTGGTACTTTTTATTACCAGGACTCAGGGTGCCATGCCAGAAACCTGACTGTTCTACCTCTTCCTCCCCTTTTCCTCTCTAAACAAGCAAGTCCTCAATAATGCTCCGAGTAGCTCTCAAATCTGCCCGTTTCTCAGACCCTACTGCCACTCCCCTAATCCAAGATTCCAGGTCTGCACCCTCACCAGGATTTCTGTAGCAGCCTGCTAACCATTTTCCCTTCCTTTCCAGTCCACATCCCTTGCTGCCATCAAAGCTCACTTCACACTTCACTACTCAGCTTAAAACCTTCCACCAGCACCTGGCAGCCGACAATGTGTGGTGCAGGTTTCCTGAAGCCTGTGTTCAGGGCTCTTGGTGGTCAGCCTGTCCCACCTACCTCCCCAGCCACATCTCCTCCTTGATGCCAGGATCCAGAAACACAGCTGAGGAGCCTTCATTGTCCTCAACACAGTGGGCTGCCCCTAGTTCTGCTGCTTTGTCTGAGCATGCCCCACTGACCTTCACCTAGCTAATTATTACCTGAATCAAAGCTCAATTCAGATGTCACCTCCTCTGAGAAGCCTTCTCTGCTCTTCCCCATCCCACTCCCTCAAGGATAGGTGAGGTGCCCTCCTCTGTGCTCCCTCAAGAGCCAATATTCAACTTAACAGTAGATTTTTTTTAGCTGTAATTTTAATTACATTGTGTGCCACATTGTACTAAAGTTGTATCTGAGTCCATGTCAACTGTCCACATTAGCCTTTAAGCCACCAATACTCAAGAACCATATTTTAGTCATTTTTTCCTCATGTGACCTCCAGCAGTGCCTGGCACATGGCAAGTGTCCCATAAATATTGGTCGAATGTAATTGAAATAGTCAATTCACTTCTCTGTTAAAGGGAAATAATTGGATAAGCCTGAAGTGCTGGCTCCGGAAAGCTGGCGCAATTGTGGCTGCTTCTTAGCCTGCTTCTGTGCTCAGCTCCTTCCTGCTGTACTCTGCAACTGAACCACAGCCTTTAGTCCATCCCAAATGGAGCATGAGGCTTAAGTAGTGCAGCTCTCTTTTCCAGATGTATTTTTTTCACACCTTTCCTGGCTTTCACTGACTTAGCCAATGTTTTTTGGTCCCCAGCATGTGTGAGTCACTGAGCTGGAATGATGAGGAGCCTCAAGCTGTGGCACATTGGAAATGGTTGAGTTTCCAGGTCCTCACCCTCATCAGGATTTCTGTAGCAGCCTCCTAAGCATTTTTATCTTCCCTTCTAGTTCACATCCCTCTGGGGAAGAGAAACTGTAAGGGACATGTGATTGCTGTCTTCAGATATTTAAAGGGCTGCCTTAAAGAGAAAAAAAGTAGAATTTTCTGCTCTGGACAGAAAATTACAGAAAGTCCAACTTAAACTGGCTTGAATAATAAAGAAGATTTCTTGGCTCAGGTCCAAGGAAGTCCAGAGACAAAGTGGAGACCAGACAAGGCTCAGCCAGGGCTCTGCCTGCTTCCTGCAGGTATCTTGGCTCCACCCTTTCTCTACTCATTGGCTTCACCTTCAGGCTGCCAGAAGAATGGCTGCAGCAGTTTGAGGTCAGAGCTACATACAATACTAGAGGAAGAGAAGCCATAACTAAAGAACTAGGATTCTGTTTTCCTAGAAGTTTCTAGCAAACTTCACTCATGTTTTATTGTACTAAATTGAATCACATCCTTATATCTGAGACAGTCGCATTGGTTGGGAAATGTCATGCACTGGTTGGCTTAGGTCTGGTGTCCTGAAGAGCCAGAGGTTCTGGTCAGCTCGCACTAAAATATGCAGGCTGCCTGGAAGAGGGCTGGATACCTAAGTGAAAACAGTGTATGGAGCTAGGAGGAGGAAAATGGCTCAATGCCCATTGTGCTAGCACCAGGCAGTACTTATATTACCTTTAAAACTCTCATCTTCTGGTTCCCAGTGGGTTATAGCAGAAAACCTGGAATTGTGAGGCTGTAGAGTTATGAGAAAAGTTGAAATCGTTCAGAATCAATTCAACATTGTGTGTGGCTGGGCAGTGTATAAGGAGGGCAGGGGCAGGTAAGGATGTCCCTGTTGCCTGCTTCAAGAATTTCTCCCTTCTACTAGTGCAGTAGGAGACACATTAAGCCTCCCAGCTTGTCTTCTCAGCACCTGTCCCTAAAGCAAGCATGCTGGGAATGGTAAACAGCTTCCTCTCCCATATGCCAATTACCTCACTCATTTTTTCTTTTTCCCTTAGGCTCTGTAAAGCAGCACACTGGGTGCTGGCGGGTTCTTAAGCTTAAAGTGAGGGCTCTTCTGAGAAATTAGGCTGTGGCCCACCCCTAGGACAACTCTGAGACTCAAAACATAACTGGTTCTCACTGAGCACCAGCAGGACAGCTTTTTCCCCTTCCGCTAGCTCTGAAAGTTTTGCCCTGTTTTACCCATGACCATTCTGATTACGCTGTGCCTTCTTGTCCCCTCTAGATGTTCGACTGGATAAGCCACAACAAGGAGTTATTCCTCCAGAGCCACACGGAGATCGGAGTCAGCTACCAGTATGCCCTAGACCTCCAGACGCAGCACAATCACTTTGCCATGAACTCCATGGTGAGCTGAGGGGCTGTTAGCACTGCCTGTGGGAGTGGGAGTGTGGGGAGAAGAGGGAGGAGGGACAGAAACAGACTTTCCACCCAAGGAAGAATGAAGAACTGTGAACATGCGGACCCTTTGGTGTTCTGTTTGTTGGAATGGGGATGAGTGTAGGGCATGTGGCCAGCCAGCTGTTCCTGCAGTAGATTATGCCTCCAGATCCCGCTTTACACAGTCAAAGAATGGACCTGGGGTTGTAGGATGCACTGGCTCAGCTCGAGTCTAGAAGGGCGAGTACCAGTTCCACTTCACTGACTTAGCCAACGTTTTTTGGTCCCCAGCATGTGTGAGTCACCGAGATGGGATGGTGAGGGGCCTCAAGCTGTGGCACGTTGGAAATGGCTGAGTGACCTGGGGCTGTTTCAACTGGGGAAGAGAAACCCTAGGGGACATGTTCGAATATTTAAAGGGCTACCTTAAAGAGAAAAAGAGCAGGATTGCTCTGTGTTTCCTTAGAAGGCAGAAATGTTCAGGGGATGGCAGTTTGAGCGGGAGGCAGGACATGGCTCAGAGCGGGAGGTGGGGTGGGATGCAGTGGGAGGTAGTGAGCTCTCCGTGACGGGGAGGGTTCAGGCAGATGCCGAATTCAGAGAGGGATGTTTGCTAACTGTGTGGCTGGAGAGAATTTACTTTGCCTCTCTATGCTTCAGTTTCCTTATTTATAAAATGAAAATAATAATAATAGTTACCATATAAGGTTGTTGTAAGGATTTAATGTGTTAACTGTAAAACAAGAACGGTGCCTGGCATATAGTAAGTTGTCAGTAAATGCTGGTGTTACGATAATAATAAGGATGGAGGAGTTTAGTCCAGATAACCACTCTTATCCCCCATAAACCTAACACTTTGGGATGTATTTTTGTTTTCCTGAGTGGTTACCCCAATATTTTATTTCAAAATTGTGTCTGCTCCTTGAAGCCATTATATTTCAAACTCCTGCAGCCTTAGAATGCCTCTCTCTCTGTCTCTTCTGCCAGCTCTTCCTACTTGAATTATTGGCCCAGAAGAATACCTCCACCATTCCTCATATATTTGAAAAACAAAGACACCTTATCATTGTAGCTGGTGATGTTGGGAGTGGGGCAAATATTAGAAAAACAAAACAAGAATCACAGAGGCCAAGAAGGAGGAGAATTTCGTTTTCTACCAAGCTCTTTTAAATATGCTATACACTGGAGTTCACACACTGGAGAAGGAATATTTTAGGTTGGTGCAAAAGTAATTGTGCTTTTGCCATTACTTTTAATTAAATAATTCTGGCCTCAAGTTGTTCAGTGTCTAGCTAGAGAAGGAAAACTTCAGACAATCATGGTGCAGCTTGCTATGTGCAGTAATAGATATGCTGAGTTAGCTAAGAACCTTAAAATCTCAGTGGTTGAAAACAATCGAGGTTTATTTATCGCTCCTACCACACACCCATCCCTAGCTCATAGGAGCTCTGCTTATCATAGCCACCCAGGGAGACCTGGGCTGATGGTGTAACCACCAGCTCAGATTTGCCAGCTCAGATGCTGCCAGCCTTGCCAGACAAAGCATGTGCCCAAGGACACACACTAGCTCTGAAACCTTCCAACTAGAAGTGACACATTTGCTCACATTCCATTGGCCAACACAAATCATAGAACCACATCTAATTTGAAGTGGCTGGGGACATCGTGCAGTCCTATCACATGCTGGGAAGGAGGGAGCAGGATGGTTGTGAACAGCTCTAATGACTACCACACTGCAGGATGTTAGGTAGAGGTGAACATCATGAGACTTGCATAGAAAGATCACTCTGGCTGCAGAGATGAAGGTTGTGAGACTAGGGAGGGAAATCATTAACACTGATTGTGTTATCAGTCTTGGCCACAACAGTCTTGTGTCTTCATCTAAATGTAAAGACTCATTCTCTTCCCATTAGTCTCCTGTGGATATTTCTTATCTCTGTCTCACTTTAGTGTAGAGTAGCAAAGCAGTTGATCACAGGTGATTAAGAACATGAACTCAAATCGTCAAGTTTGATTATTTGTGTGCCCTGTGGATTTTCCCTGGTGAGTTTTACAAATTCTGTGATAGAATTTTTACATCACCCAACCATCTGGCCCTAAGGCAGACAAACTCATTTTAATAGGAAACAAAGACAACCATAATTAGGGAGGTCAGATCACCACCAAGTCCCTAGAAACAGTGACTGCAAAGTTAAAAGAGCCTTGGGTTTTGAATTATCTGTACAACTACTCTTCTCTGATATTATGGGTAACAGAGTTAACAGCACATCAAACACCTTTCTTCTGACAGATTACTGTTGAAGTCTCCATTTTTTAGGACAAAAATAAGGGAGAAAATTTACTGAAGGGAAGTAACTTCTGGAACTGGGAGAGAGAAGAGAAGAGATGTAGTATACAACAGACAATTAGTGTTTCCCAGCCCATCTGTAGCCCCTCTCTCGCTGTGAATGCACACAGCACTCAGAGGCCCCCTTGGCCTGATTAGGCTTGGATCTTGTGGCTTCAGGGTGAGGGAAGGGAAATCCAAGTGTTGCTGGATTAAGTTACCTGGGCTCCTGTGCTTGATAAACATGGCCTGGTGCCTTATTACATGGGAAGTGTAAGGTTTGTTATAAAAAGAAACTTCCTGCAAAAAGGGATGTCAGCATCCCAAGCAGGTGAAAGGAGGGAATTACAGATTCCTTTTCTCTGGCCTGAGCAGTGGATGTTGCTGCCAAGAAACAGATGTATACAAGTGGCTATTAATCGAGCTCAATGACTACAGGAATGATCAGTTACTCAGGGGAAGTGGGAATGTGGATTGTTCTGTAAATTCACTGCAGCATTTCTGTTCTTGGAAACTATACACATGCATATACATATGCCCATACATCCATTCATGTAAAGGTAAATACAGCGTACTTTGTTTTAGGCTGCAGGTAAATCTTTTGGTATTGAATCTTGTTTTACCACAGGGAAATAGGCCAACAGTTCCTTATGTTTCAGGGAGTTCACAGATCCCTTTGAAATCAAATGAAGGTTATGAATCCTCTCTTCAGAGACATATATGCATAAACACATTTTTTAGGCAGTTTCTAGAGATTCAGGGGAATCCTAAAACCTGTCAATCGACCTCCCCAACTTAAAGTCCTGAGAACCTTATCACTTCTTTATTCACTCACTCAACAACTAATTAATGATCAGACATTGTGTTGAGTACTGAGCATATAGTGGTGAACAAGACAGAGATGATTATGTCTCATGGAGAGTCCACTGGGGAGATAGATGTAAAGGATATAATCTCACAAATATATGATTACAAACTGGTAAGTCTTAATGTTGGAAGAGTAAGGTATGTTATGACAGAGCTTAAGAAAAAGGCCCAATTTAGATGGGGGGTGGTCATGTACATTTTTCAGTCAACAATCTGCATTGACTTAATGTTGATTTTTCATTCATTGATAGTAATTAATGGCCCGTGAATTGAAGTGACTCTATAAAGTACCAAAGAACTTACAATTTCAAGAAGTCCTAGGTATATCATTTTGTCAGTGAAAATGATCAACTAATAACTTACTTGTCCAGTTTTATTTTCACATGTCAGGTGTTTATACATTAGTTAAAGACCCAACTCCTACAAAGGTGACGATTACTGAGCGTATTAATTTGCTAGGGCTGCCATAACAATGTCACAGACTGGGTGGCTTGAACCACAGAAATTTGTTTACTCACAGTTCTGGAATCTAAAAGCTCAAGATCAAGGTGATGGCAGGTTTAGCTTCTCTTGAGGCCTCTCTTCTTGGCTTGCAGATGTGCTGTCACGTGGCCTTTTCTTGGGCGCACACACCCCTCGTATCTCTCTATATGTCTTAATTTCCCCTTTTTATATAAAGATACTACTCAGATTGGATTAGATCTCACCCTAATGGGCTCATTTTAACTTAATTACCACTTTAAATACCCGATCTCCACATGCAGTCACCTTTTGTGGTACTTAGGTGTTAGGGCTTCAACATATAAATTTTGTGGTTATACAATTAAGTCTGTAATACAAAGAAATAATTGCATATCATTAAATCACAGAAGAAGAATCAGAAATTTGCTAAATTTTCTCTATGAATTGGTACCTGGAGAGGCCATCAATTATTAACATACCAAGAGTGTGGGAGTGATACCTTAGTAAATATGGTACATAAATAAAATGAAAAAAAGTTAAAATTGGTTGATCTTTAGATTTTTTGTCATAACATGTGTTTTTGAATTTCCCACTGGGAAATCCTGTTCTTTTGATCTTCAGTTAATAATAATAACAACAATAACAACCCACCTACCTAAACGCAGTAGGAAAATATTCTGTTGCTTCTTACAGTGCCTCAGAAAACCACCTTTCCTGAAGTCTTTGGGGCCTTCCTCTTTTTAAATTCTGCCTTCTGTTGTGGAAGCCTTTTGCATAAATTTTCCTTCCCCTGAGTGTGGTCTTCTTCTCTGATTGGAGTGTGGGCAGATGGAAGTGAAGTTGGGTGGTAATAGTCACAGAACAGTCATATAGCCATCTATGTTCTGGTTCTTCATGAGACTCACAGGAGTACATGCAAACATAACACAATCTTATTTACAATTTTAATTAGCTGGTTCTTTGGGAAAAATAAATTGCTAATGGCTTCTGTCTAGAGTTTTAAAATATGAAATGATATTCATTTCCTATTATGAATATGAGGATTCACAGTAGTGATAAAAATGTGCAGCTGGGCAAGAGGAATTCCTTCTGCTGCAGCATGCTTGATAGCTGTTTTAATCCCATTAATTTGCTCAACAAAGGCACACATTGCCCCTTGATGGTGTGGAAATCAGACCAGTTGCAGAAAAGACTACAGTGTTCTCTCTTTGTTTTGAGGAAAGGTTATAAATGAGCACCAAGGAAAAATCAGATCTGGTATGTGAAAACTCAAGATTCTGAGGCAGGTGGTCTCCCAACTCTAATCTCCCATC